CAAGGCTTTGAAGGCATGCCCCACGGAGGAAACAAAGGCTGAGCATTGCCATGCCTCACCCCGAGCCCAGACACAGACACTGGGTCCCTGCCTGGACCCTGGGAGAGGTTGTCTTCCAAACAGGGACCCCTGGCCACCAGCAGGGAAAAGCCCAATTCATGAATTCCTGAAGGATTAAGAACTAGCTGCCTCAGTAAGCATTAACTGCTCAGCAGTCAGGGCTGGAGAAGGTGTGTGGACCTCCAGGCTTCCAGGTCCTTCTACTGGTGACAAAGGAGGTGTCCCCATGGCTGGTGGCTGCTGGGGTGAGCTTTGGAGTGGAGGTGCCTGGGGAGGTGATTCGGTGCCTCTGTCCATCGGGGAGGGATATTTCTCATTACCTCTGGTGGGCCCTCGGGAACGAGGCAGAGCAGCTCGTTGCATGTCACAGGCTCTTTATTTAGGTTCACTTCACTGGATAAAAGAGGGGACTCTTCACGCGAAGACTCCTCCTCCATCACCGGGTCAGGCTGAACCACCGCCTCCATAACCACACAGAGCTGGTCCAGGCTGTGCCGCAAGCCCATCTGGAAGAGAGAGAGATTTTGGGGGTCTCCAAAGGCAGGCAGCAGCAGTGTCCTGAGGACAGCCTGCGAAGGGCATGAATCCTCCTGCACATTTTTTACTCCTGGGAGTTATCATCCCAAGAGTAAAAACCAGCATTGGCCAAGAGCTGTGCCCAGCACTTGGAGCTGAGTGTCTTCATCCTACAGCCCTGCTGCCATCAGCTGCCTCTTGTGCCAGCGACTACTCCCAGCATGATAGTCACAGCCTGGCATGGAGAATCTTGTCTTTAAAAGCTATATGAGTTATATCAGCCAATATATGAATCTGTGCGCTACTGTCCAGCCCCCGATCTGCATCTGCTGGTTCATCCAGGGAGATGAGCAGCCTTGAGATTTTCAGAGGGTCGTACCCCCTCACCTCTCATCCTGTGGCTGCGGTCAGCAAGGGCAATTCAGCGCAGGAGAGTGTGGTCTTTGTATATTTATACACTGCATAAAGGAAAACATTTTCTGAAGGCCAAGAGGACAAAATTTTTTTATACAGTTAAGCCGGTACGGTGTTCACTTATTCCTCAGGCTATCCAATTTCTTTCAGGAGGACAGCTCAAGGTGTCAGCTATTTCAAGTTGTGACACATGCTTTCAAAATTTGCCCTTGATTCATGATTACTCTCCTTTATTAAAGTTGTACAGTTAATTATCCAAACACGCACATACCACAGGACCCAAGCAAA